TAACATAAGAGGGGTACCTCAGGACCTGGGAGAATACCTGTTCACCAGACCTCCCCAAGGGATAACAAGGTCTAATGACCATAAACTCCAGGAAGGCTGATTTAGACTAGATGTAAGAAAAAAGTTCTTTATGGTGCACGTCTCCAGGGTTTGGAACAAATTCCCCCCAGAGATGGTACAAGCACGGACTCTGGACTCTTTAAAAAAACAGGTGTATATATTTCTTGCTGGGGTCACTTGATCCCAGTGGACTTCCTGCCTATGGCAGGGGGGGCGGAGGGGGCTGACTTGATGATCTCATGAGGTCCCTTCCAGTCCCTAGTGTCTATGAAATCTATTAAATCTACGAAAATCGATGAAATAACTGTCTATCTGCTCATCTTTCTCTCACAGTAAGTGAAAGCTAAATTGGAACAATTGAGCCCTGTTTCATTCAGGTTTAAGCTGTCCAATTTAGTTTTCCCTTACACTGGAGTCAGGGTATGCATATAGACCAGGAGTGGGCAATTATTTCAGCTAGAGGGCCGCTTAATGAGTTTTGGTGAGCTGTCCAGGGCTGAGTGGGTAGCCCTGCCTCTTAACAGTTGCCCTGCCCCCTGGTTGCCATTTTGGGACTGGAAGTCCTACCCCCTAACCCTTGACCTTTGCCATTAGACATCCCTCTCCTTGCCCCCCAGAAATACTCCTTTTGGGAAAGGAGTTGCCATCTTAGAAAAAGAAGAAAAAGACCCCCGCCCCCCCTCCCCAAAAGCATACACTGGAAGTCAAACACCTACTAAAACATATTTTAGGGGGATTGTGGGGGAACATAGGGTATGTTGGGGTGTGTGTATGTGTGTGGGGCTTGGAGGGGAAGGGTGTGGGTATGTGAAGTTTGTTGGATGTGAGGGAGGTTGGGGGGTGTGGGCCCCCCCAACACACTCCCCCACATAGCACGCAGCCCCCTCTGACAGCAGCAGCAGCAGGTGGGGGGCTCAGAAAGCTTATGCCTGGTGCAGACACTGGTGCTGGGTGGGGCACAGCTCCAGCCAGTGCTGCACATGAGAGGGAGAGGTGGGAAGGAGAGCAGCATGCCCAGCTGCCTGTATTATGAGGGCTCCATGCACACCTGTAGCTCCCATACTTGCACTTGGAGAAGCCCCATGCTGGACTCCACAGGGAAGCAGGGGGTGGGGCTTCCTCTACTCCCAGTAGAGTCAGCAGACCTGCACAGCAGAGGGCTGAGAAGGCATTCAGCTTCAGCATGGGGCGTCCCTCCAGTGCAAGTGTGGGAGTTGCAGGCACGTGGCCCCTGTGATAGCCCCTGCAGTTCCCAGTTGTTCCTGCTGTCACCAGCCCTAAGCCCTGGGGCCCCATACTCCTGCCCACTGCCACTTTCCCGCCTGTGCCCGCCACTCCCCACCTGCCACTCCAGCAGTGTGTAGTTTCCAGTTGCTTGGTTGGGATTGCATGGTGCAGCAGGAGCCAGCTTGGAACTGTGTGGTGCCGGCTGGGCCCAGCTAGCTCTTGCTTCACCGGTGATCCTCCCCACCCCGCACCTGTTCTTATCTGATTCTCCACTCTCAAATGGGGGGAGGCAAGGAACAGCCCCATGGGCCCAGGACAGAAGCCTCTTCCAGGCATGGTTGGGGTTGGAGGGCTGGGGGCGAGGCAGGGCCAGGCGGGCCTTGCTGCTGCTGCTGGGTCCTGCCCCTGGCTCTTCCTGGGTCCTTGGCACCTTGTCATCTTTGACAGGCAGCCAGGGGCAGATGAACATTAATTTTCTAAATTCTTTAGGGGCCCAACGGGCCAGATAAAATGGCCTGGTTGGTGGACTGAATCCAGCCTGCAAGCCATATTTTGCCTGCCCCTTATATAGACAGTTACTGTGCACCGGCTGCTTTGTGGTAGGTCTACAGCCCCTTTTCACATTCTGCAAGTTGATCATCTGTCCATACCCAGAGACACCAGCATAGACTAGAACTCGCCCAATGGCAAAACACTAGACTCATGTAGTTACATTTTTACTCAGTCCTGAGGCATGACTGTCCCTATCCAAACCATCATTTACAATCCATGTAGAGTTCTGATTATAGATGATATAAAATGGTTTGGAATGAAAGGAAACAAGAATGAGAAATCCAGTGTCTGACCTCCCCTTTAACCATTACCTGTGGCATTTGCTGGAGAGTTTGCAGCTCTAGGACTGACCTTCTTAGCCATTAACAGACCCTTTACTTGATTCATGGGAGTGATCATCCTTGATCGTGAGGGATTGCTACCACAAATGGCAGCAGCTAAGAAGCTGGGGGATTTTTTATTTTGCACTAGTAAAATTGATAGTTTAATTAGCTATATATATTATTTTTTGTCTCATTTAAAGTAAGTCTGAAGTCTGGTTTTCAGAAGTGGAAAATTTCACTTTATTTTTAAAATGTGTGGATTAAAAGGCCTTAAATATTTTTACAGCTGATGAGGTTTATCATCTTCCTTAGCTAGTCTAAACCAGGCAAACAGAATTTGCTCAAAACTTTCCAAAAGCTGGAACTAAGGTGAAACATAGAGCACATTAGCCAAAAAGTGCTTTTCAAGCTATTTGAAGCAGATGGTTACAGGAGAAGTCTCAAGGTAACATTAATTATAATGCTGGGTATAGATAAATATTCAAACATAATCTGAGAACAGTATTTGAATATTAATTTATGCATTCACTTATCTCCTGTCTACTAAGTTAGGGATGCATTGATCATTTACATGATCATGTATGCAACCTTGGAGGTAGAAGTTAATCTCAGAACAGGCAAAACAACAATAATATGTTAGCAATTTCTCTAGGACTTGATGCAATTCCTGTTCTATATTTTCACAAATGTAGAAAGCTGCTTCAGACAGACCCACTGTGAAAAATGAGAATTAAAAAGCTGATCCAACACTCATTTAATCCAGTAAATCAGGTTCATCTCTGAAACACAGCACTTAGCCAAATGTTAATATCTCTGATGACTGAATGAATAAAAAAAGGCATGCAAGATCCCCTGAGAGCTACTGAAACAAAACTAATTTTCCTTACTTCTGAGTAGGTTTGTCATATCAGCTCATGGATTGTGAAGTCACCAATTTCTTATTTCCAGCCTGAATGCTTTAAACAGCAAGTGAAGGAGGACTGTGTGTTTAATAAACAAAGGAGAAGTAGACTGGAGTTTCTTTATCCCTCAGCATCTTCCCTTTTTCTCTAATGCAGAGACTTTAATTTAATTTTATTTAAAGTTACAAAGATTCCATGAAGAAACTGAGATGGCAGAAGCAAGAAATAATTTCAAAAGCCTAGTCAAGGGCAGAACACAGACGCAAATGAAACATCAAGAAAAAGAACAAAAGTGAATGGTGAGCACATCAGGACCAGACAGAGGAATGCCAAAATCACACAGATCAAGCAATGCTGGACAAAAGCCAGGAGAGGGACCACTCACATTTTATTTGGATGAATGACTGCTATTCTTACAATTTTACATTTATTTCTATATTACAAACCAGCAGGCAGAGGGAAACAACCATCCCTCATTATGTTTCTGGGCTTGTGTGAAATGAGGCTTCAACTTCTCCTCACCCCAGACACAGAAACTCAATCTTCATAATCCACTCCATGGTAAGAGTGGACCCAGTCCTACTGACTTTGATGTCAATGGATTTGCAGTCTCATCCTAACACCAGTTTTAGAATATATTTAATTTATTCCCTCACTACTGTGCAAATTCACCCTGGGAGAACTGAACTATGCACTAATTCTTGCTCCATAGCTGTTTATAGTCAAATACATTTTTTCCATATAAAATGTTTTTCAGTCTCCCTTTTCACAGTAAATAGTAACTGTGATGATACATACCACAGATCTCCTGTCCATGGTGAGCCAGGGAGAAGTTTGATCCACGTGAATAGCCATGGCAGACCAGCAGCTTTAAAGCCTGGCACATAGAAGGCTATCCTCCCAAGATTGAATTAATGAATCTCCTAAAATGTAGGATGCTCATTCAATCCAGGAGAGCAGGTTTTTGGCGCTTTCACTTTGATATGAAACTAAGAAACTGAACAGTTGTTCTGAACAGGCAAAATAAAAGTAAGGCCCATTGTTACATTTGTACAATTCAAAAGAAAAATGTGGATAAAAGCTCTGAGAAGAAGTTCAGGTCACTTTGTTCCCATTTGAACCCCCTTCTCCAAATCATGTTTATGGGTATTACACATTATTCTAGAGGTACTTAGGGTCCCAATCAGGGAATAGAAACAAAGGAGCGTTCCTGCCCAAAAGAATGTACTAGACACTGGCTGCATCTACACGAGACACTCACTGCACAGTCGTTTAGTACTTGCATTAACTAGTGCTAAATGACTGCAGTAGCGCTGATGAATGACTTCGAGACGCTGACTGCGCTGTAGTCCAAGACTACTGTGCAGAAGTGTTGCATCGTGCTTTCTGCCATGCAACACTACTGCGCAGTAGCCTTGGGCTATTGTGCAGTCAGTGTGTCATGTAAGACATGGCCACTAAGTAGCGTTAACTGGGAGGAAAGGAGTGGAGACAATACACCAGCAAAGACAGGAACACTTGCATCAACAATCATACAATTATCCCTCCTGTAACAAACTAGCACATGCCTCTCAGTGCCAGCTGGAAATACTATGCAACAACCACCTGTGTAGAGCCATGTACAGGAACAACCCTACAGAAACAAACCAGTTTGCAAGTAATCCTGCCGGTGGCTGTTGTTGAGGGAAGAACAAGTCAAGCAAGAAACCGAACACTGCCTTCCAGTTTTTGCAGCGCAGCTGTAAGCAATAACAATTAGGGAGTCATGGAAAATATCTCAGCAATATCTTTTTGGACTCTGGGATCAATCAAGTTGTTCTATCTCCCACCAAATCAGAAACAAATATCCTGTCACATACTGTTTGTCTTGAGCCTGGCGGGTTCACTGTTCCGGCTGCCAGCTTGGTTTATGGCCTTGACAAGGAAGATGTATCGGGTGCCACTCTGAAGCCCGTGCACTGTGTAGTGGTTCTGTTTGATGTTGGGGACAATCATCCAGCTATCCATGGAGTTGTACAGGCCTGCAGTACAGGAAGGGGGTGTGGAGAGATTTATTACCATGTGATGGAGATGAAGGACAAGATAAATTGCAAACACAACACAGGCTGGGCATAGTGGAGTTCATGGACTGTGCATCCTTCAGACTAATATACAACCTAGGAGTTAACAGGAATCTGCAGAACAGACTGAAGGAAAAATTTACATAAATGATAGAAACCACTAGGAAAGGGGGATTGTTTTTATTATCACATGAGGGCAGAACTTGTTAAGTCAAAACTGGCAAAGCCAGAGATTGGCTGAGAAAGGGGATGCAAGCATTTTATGGGCAGCATGTCATGTTGCTATCTTGGGACATGATGGGGGATGAGCAGCAGAGAAACCTCTGGGCAGGCACTAAAACCTAATAATTTTTCCAGGTCCATGTTTCTGTGAAGATGAAACATCCAACAGACAATTCCTGGGAGGAGGCAGGAAATAACAATAACAGGAAAGTGCTGATGAGGCCTCACTGAGAGGGGCAGGTTGGATTGTCGGTTTGTCTCTGGCTTAGGACCCACATTCATTAATGCTACTTGAAAACAACACTAATGAGCTACAGGTGCAAGCTCTCCCATAAATCTTGGGAGAGGAGTTCATGTGGTCACTCAGGGAGGAACGGTCATCTACATCCACTGGCCTTGCAAAGTGCATGAGGCAAGTTGTGCAGTCTGGCCCAGTTTGTAACTCAGTACAGAGAGACGTGTTTCTCAGATGTAAGGTCTTTGCTTGAGCTGTTTTCTATGAATCAGCTCTTAGAAACAGAATCCATCCTGGCTGCAGCCATTCAGATTGGATTTCCCTGCCTACGGCAACTGTCATTGCAACAGGGTCTGAGCTATACTGCTAATGGTTCAAATACAGCAGCCTGGCTGAGTTCCTCATTTACAAGTTATCATGTAAAGTGCAAATAAAATATTCCTGTGCAAAGCAATTTAAATGAACTAAATGAGAAAAAATGCTTCAGCAAGTGTGCCTGGTAAGGCTCTTCACACTTAATGGAATTTACTTAGTTTTAATATGCAAAAGCAGCGAGAGGAATGGGCTGGCAGTGACGCACTGAGGAACATGCTCTCTGCCAGTGGAATTTCATTATGGGATAGCTGCCCTGTGTGCAGCTGGGTTTTTACCAGCCAATGTAATCCTGTCACACTAGCGTGTATTTTTGACTGCTCAGTGGGTTGTAGTGGTATGAAAGCTGATGCCCAGCAGACTTCTGAATCACTCTTCTACATGTTCAGCATTCGGGGAGAACCCTCCAGTGTGGAACTAAGCAGAGCTGCCAGCACAGCAGTTCAGCATTCCCACTTGGAGGTTCACACCATTTCCTCTTAGAAACTGCTTTTCCTTCCCAATGGCCCAGGATGAACTTGAACGTCAGCACGTTACACTTGGCTTTAATTAAATTAGTTCCCTTCAAGAACTTCTGTATTGCTGTCCTCACTGCAAGTACAAATTTCTACCACCCTTCACAAACACACAGAAATTAACAGCAGCTATAGCTTTAGTCTAGGTATGTTCCATTTCATTAGCGGTTACTGCTATTATTACAGGCAATGAGGACACCTGGGCTGTTGGGATGATGTCATATCTGTGCTGAGAACTAATCCAAGGCCTTCATTGATACTCTGGACAGGGGTGTCAAGACTGTTTCTATTTTTTTTTCAAACAAGTTCACCCATTTCAATGAAACCTTTAAAAAGCCTTGTGGTCTTTCCTGCTGATCCTCATGGTTTCTGCTTCCTATGGGAAAATCTTGCTTTCACTCACTGAATCACAATATATCACTCTATCTACAGGCAACAGAGAGAAACACGCTTTTTGCACTGTTTTGTTATACTATAAGACATGGCATTGGCTGATGCACGCCAGAGTTCTGTTTGCCTTGCTGGCAAACTCATCCCACTGTTGACTCATGTTCATGTTCCGGTCGATTGTGACCCCCACGTCCCGTTCAGATGCTGTACCAGCCAGCGTACCACCACCCATCATGCAGTTATGGTGAAGGTTCTTCCTACCCAGATGAAGAACCCTGCACCTCTCCCTGTTAAACCTCATCTGATTCCATTCTGCCCATAAAACCAGTCTGTCAAGGTCATCCTGGATCTTTACCCTATCCTCTGATGTGCCTGCGTTTCCCCAGAGCTTAGTATCATCCACAAACATAATCACTGAGCTTTCTACACCCTCATCCAAGTCATTATTAAATATGTTAAAGAGCGTGGGTCCAAACACAGATCCCTGAGGGACACCACTGGAGACAACCCTCCAGGGTGAGGCCAGTCCACTAATTACAACTCTCTGGGATTGGCCTCTAAGCCAGCTGTCCACCCACCTCACTGTAGACTGGTCCAGCCCAGTACCCTCCCATTTAGTTGACAGAATCTCGTGGGAAACAGACTCAAAGGCTCCACTGAAGTATAAGTAAATGATATCAACCTCATGCCCCTCATTCAGATGGTTAGTTACCTGGTCATAGAAGGACACCAGGTTTGTTAGGCATGATCTACCCTTGACCAAGCTGTGCTGGTTACTTCTTAATACCCCACAAGTTACCAGTTTGTAATTGATGGCCTCCTTAACAATTTTTTTCAAAAAAAATTCCCAGGGCCAAAGTCAGACTGACCAGTCTTTAGTTTGCAGGGTCATCCCTCTTCCCTTTCTTGAAGATAGGTACCACGTTGTCTCTCTTCCAGTCATCCGGGACCACTCCCACATTCCATGACTCTTCAAACAGTTTTGCCAGTGGCCCTGCTATAAGCTCAGCCAGTTCTTTCAGGGCTCTCGGCTGCAGGTCATCTGGTCCAGCAGACTTGAAAATGTCCAAGCGTTCTAATAGTTCCCTCACCTGTTCGGGACTGATTTCATGTAGTCTGTTATATTCCCCATATTCCCTCTGGACAGATGGAACAGTCCTGGTTTGATTTCAGGAATACCAATGTGAACTATGTATTTAGGAGCTCTGCCTTTTCACAGGGATCAACCATAGGCTGCCCCTCTGTATTCAGTAGGGGTCCCACAGTGGAGCCTGATTTTTTCTTGCTCCCTATGTATCTATAGAAGGACCTTTTGTTGTCCTTTATTTCAGCTGCCAGTTTGATCTCCATGCCTGCCTTGGCTTTCCGTGTCTTGTACCTGCAGACCCTGGCAATATAAGCGTACTCCTCTCTGGTTGTTGAACCATTCTTCCATTGCTTGTAAGCTTCTTTTTCCTTTTTCAGTAGTTCCCTAATATCCCTGCTGAGCCAAGTGGGTCTCTTGGCTCCTTTTCCTTGTTGTCCATGTGGGAATTGCCTCTTTTTGAGCAGTGAGAGTTGTCCCCTTAAGGAGGCACCACCATTCCTGAACTCCCAAAACATCCAGTCACTGGTCACAGAGAGCCTCTCCAACTAACCTCCTGAGTTTGCCAAAGTCTGCCTTTCTGAAGTCTAGGATTTCTGTTCTACTGATTTCCCAGCCTTTCAGTAGATGTGGAACCTAATCAAATCATGATCACTGTCGCCCAGAGTACCTCTAATCCTAAGGTCACCTATCACATCCTCCCCTTTGATCAGCACTAAATCCAGAGTGGCCTTACCCCTAGCAGGCCCTTCCACAACTTGTGTCAGGAACAGATTGTCTATAGATGCCCAGACGTTAGCAGACCTGCTGGAGCTGGCCAAATGGTCCTTTCAACAGATGTCAGGGTAGTTGAAGTCACCGATGACCATCATGTCTTTAGTGCTAGCTGCCTCAGTCAGTTCCCCGGAGAATGCCTGATCACTCTCTTCTTCTTGGGAGGGAGACCTGCAGTAAACTCCCACCATCAGGTCTCCCTCTCCTGATCCCCCTTGCATCTTGACCTAGAGGGTCTCAAGGGACCCTTCCCTGGTATCAAACGTGATCTGTACGGCGGGGTTCCACTCTTTCACATAGAGGGCCATGCCTCCTGCCTTCTTCCCAATCCGATCCTTCTGATAAAGCCTATAGACCTCAATATTCACTGCCCAATCATACGTGTCATCCCACTAGGTCTCCATCAACCCAATGAGAT